CGACTGTTTATTTGTATAAGCTCCAAGCAATCTAATAACTATCGGTACACCAATTCCAATTCGGTTATAAACACCATTAAAATACATATTATATAACTCGTATAAGCGTTTGGAGATTCAATTAACAGTTGTCGGTAGGTAATCCCCATCGTTGAACTTCGGAAAATATAATAATCTTTTTGGAAAATAGAAGATACGTAATAGTATTATATTATATTGTAATCTTAACATTGATTTTTATTACTTTTTTGTTTTTATTTATGATTATCGGACGATATAGTCGTTGAATACACTCTATATCGACTTCTGATTTTTAAACGGCAACCTATGAACAAATAAGTTTTTTTTGTTAATTAAAATACCTTGGTAGGTACATCATAATATACCCAACGAAATTTTTTGGTACGCCACATCCAAATACGTCCACTCATCCAAACTTTCAGTGCTGGTTAGTGAATAAATTCTTATTAGGTTATTCTTCGTTAGACTATTAAAATATAGAAATATAGGTTAGGTTAACTCGATGTATTCAAAAGTCGATACGTCGTTATTTGACCGACAATCTCAATAAAGGTGAAAAAACCAAAGGCCACGAAAAATGATAGAATGGCGTGTGTCCCAAATTTTCCGACGAAAAAACTTCGAAAAGAATTAATGATTAGGTTAAGTTGAGTAGAAATAATGAGTGTTCGGAAAGCCTTGAAGAAACGCCCCATATATAGGGTACCTAACTGTTGACCTAAATTAAATTGAGTCGTTTGTACACAATCTATCGCAACGGTGCAATATAATATAATATAAATGATATAATTTTAAGCCGGACGGACTACAATCCTCAAAATGTGGCATACTTTTCTTGAAAATTGTACCACGAAAAATAAAACCTCAATAACCGCTATCGACTATTATACGACCATACTATATTGAAAATTTGAAACTATTAACGAGAACATTACTGTTTGTAGGACGGGCCAATAATTATTACTGGAGTTTAATATATTGCTTTCTTAAAACTTTGTCGTCACAGGTACTTATTAAATTATTATGAAATACCCACAGATTTACATGTGCAGCCAGATCGTTCAACAAAGATACTCATCCCCCAATTTATTCTTTTAATAATGCGTTTATTTAAATTCTGATATTCAATATTTTTAAGCGTACCAAACCATATTATTTTCAAATGAGGACCGTTATTTTTTGCTGTAAATTATCAAGCAAATGATTTTTATCAATTTTTTAATGTATCTAAATCGAAATTTAAACCAATTTAATCTCAACGTTGTTGACTGTGCTTACTAAATAATAATGATAATATAGATCAACGATAAAAGGGATGGGAGATATGGGGATACAGTGTTTTGAAAATGATAGTAATTTATATTGATCTCAACCATCTCTAACTCGTTAATGAGTAGGTCACTGATAAATTATTACATACAAAATACGATTCTGAGCGGAGGCGGTCTGCCAGCCTCTAAGGATATTTTTATTATATATTACTAAAGTTAGAAGAATTTTGTTCTAATACTTTTGCCATGAACAAATTTCATATAATTATTATAATATTATTTCATATCATACTATTACTACCTAGCTGTTATTAACTTATAAATTAATAACGACGTACCATAGTCCATAGATCCGTTTGAATAGTTTAGTGGTATAAATGGCTTAAAATTAATCTAAATATCAATATATCATTGTGTATGGTTCATTAGTTCATAATGAATAATAATTTACGTAAAGCCGAAAACGTTCAAGACTCTACGATAGAATTTTTTTTAGTTGAAACAAAATAACCAAAATCTTATTTTTCATTTAAAAATCCAATTTTGTCAACAATCGTACTTTGATTGTATATAGAAAGAAATTGTGGCAATGTATTTTCGATATTTCCGACTCTTAAAGAACAGTTTTTTAAACATCTTATTTTAAATACTTAAGTATTGGGTGTTAAAACTAAATATTTTACGAATTTAGAACTACAAAATAATTTATATATTTTCGTGATTTTGACGAATTTCGTAAAAGTCTGTACTTTAAATGCTTATAAAAAATAAAAATGACATTGTCATTTTTCAACAAGTATTTTTATATTTATTAATTTTAGCAAGAACAAACTCATTAAGTTTGAAACTTGTACTACATTTTAAAGTTTTTTCACTAACAAAAAAATAAATATTTTCATAAACAAATCGAATTTCGAAAATGCTAATCTTTTATAAATAACACCAAAAAAGTGAAAATATTTTTATCTTAAGTCTAGAAAATGTTTCTTCACCTTTTTGGTAAGAAAATTATTAAAGTCTCCACTCTTAAAAATTCCAGTTTTTTCTCAATTTATTTTTGTTTTCAGTTATTTTCAGAAAAGTGCTTTTACTTGTAATTCTCCCAATGTACCAACTAGATCCAACAAGATACCAAGAGCGACCCTCCAAGTTGAAGGATGAAGAATTTTTCCTGATTCTAAAGGTGACGTTGGGCACAAAAGAAAACACACGCATCGTTGTGATACCAATACATTCATCGCCCCCCTCATAATCTAAAAATAAATGTATTTTGACACAGAACGCTATCCTATTGGTATGAAAGTATTTGAAAATATGGCTCTATACTTGAAATTCCAAAATTTAAAATTCGTACAAATGTGAGTTATAATAAAACGAGCTTAATATTCTCAATTCCGTAAATCGCCCTGTATACTTACCGTATTCTGAACTACCCATCACGAGCTCCATATAAGCTCGGTTTTATTTCAGATAGCTATGTATATATTGTACAGCTGCAAGTGTTGTACCTGTAATATATTATATTATATATTTTATACATACGTGTGACACAACAGACAGCGGGTATACGAAAACAAAGAGTACAACGATATAAAAACACAGTTATTACAATTAAATCAATATTGTTATATTATTAAAGTATATAGTATATATGTGTTTGTTTTTGTTGATTTTATTCTGTTTAAATTTTACACAATGAATAATAATTAATAATAATTGTATAATATTATATGCTTAAAAGTATTGAATTATATTATGATATAATCGCTTTCAACTCCAATGACTTCAACTTCTCAGGACAAAATTTAAAAAAAATAAATAAATAATAAACAAAATTAAATTAAAACCTAATCAGACTTTCTATGGGGTAGAGGAATATTTTCTTACATCATTTTATGACGATCTAACATTAAGTTTTAAAGCTAAAATTAAACAATAAATAAAACACAAATGCGAAAATGAGTGATTAGGGGTTTTTTGCACGTGTACTGCAGGAACAGCTCATTAATAATATGATATTATAATATAGTTACTTATCAAATATCGGTTACAGTAACAATAATAGTAATAATAATAATAATAATAATATGACCAAATTTTTTTCATTACATACAGTTTTTCTTTTCATTATTATTTACGTTACTATAACATATAGTACGTTTATTTTTCGTAATGTTTACATTATACTAAAGCTTAAATATCATATTAAATTATTATAAATTATAATCATATTATATAATACCACGTATAATCGACATTTATTACACACTGACATTTAATAATATTCCAATAATAACACATAGACACATAGTTAAACATACAATTGTATAGGTGTTGTATGATGTATATTTTTTTAGTATTATTTATTTATTTTTTCCTTTTATATAGATATCTTATAATTTAAGAGACTAGTATTCAACATCAATATTGATTATAATTATGTTAATATATTGTAATAATATACAGCATTTCCATAATATGAAGTTCCATTTTATATGGATCAATGTATAATAATTTACGTAAAATAAAATATATTTCAAACAAGACATTCAACATTCAACCGATATAAATAAATATTTAAATCCAAAAATTCAATGGCTAAAGTAATTGACGTAGAACGTAAAAAAAAAACAATAAAATTGTAATAAATTCAAGCATACCAAAGTACACAGAAAAAATAACCAAGCAATAGCTGATATGTAACACAAAAAATAAACGAGAAACAAAATAGGTTTTTGTTTTTTTTTTAAAAAACAACAAATTTACAAAAAAAATTCAACACACGCTATACAAATATACAATATACATACACGCGCGCACGGGTTGTATAATATATGGTTGTGTGTGGTAAACGGTTTTCCGAATCAAAAACAAACTATGAAACGATAATAAATTAATACAAAGAACGATAATAAATCAATAAAAGAACAATAATAAATCAATAAAAGAACAGAGACTAACAGTACATTTTATGACGAAAATGAATTTTCATTCAGCACCACAAATATGACGTTATACACAACGGTAATAATATGTACATAATATATATAATTGTTTAAACAGACATTTACAGTCGCAGGAATTGCGACGACCGACAGCGGAAAGTCTATAGGAGGAAGTCGGTCCCCCGACCAGTAGGGTATTATAGCGATCGTATGCCTCGACGCAAAGTAGTGCAAAGGTCGAGGTCAATCGATTCCTACGGCGGCAGTGTCTCGCGGGCCGACACAGGCCGCTACTTGACTACAACTTACATAGTACATCAAACATACATAATATTATTAAACTATACTCTAAGGGGAATATTTTATATATATAATAATATAATATACAACGTTATCTTAAACGTTATTTTTATATATATAAATATTTATATATTATAATACAATGGTATATAGTATACAGTTATACACGTCTTGTCGGAATTGTATTCGACAAAAAATGTTGAAGTCAAATCCAACCAGATTGTGTGGTGGGTGTGAGGGAGAGAGGGTGGGATAATAATATAATATATTCGAGATAATATTATACGAGTCCTCCAAATGGGTATATGCGAGGAGGGTCGTAAAACAAGTAAAACGCTAATAATAAATAAATAAATAAACAAATACTGTTGGTGCGCTGCTTATATACATATATATATATAAACACATATATATAATATATTACATTGTCGTCCTCGTCGCTTCGGTCAGTGGTTTTGCTGGCTCAACGTTTGGTGTCGGCAGTCGTGTCGTCTGAAGAAGTCGAAGCGGACGTGGTGACTGGAGTTGTCCATTGCCACCGACAGCCGTACGGCTTTGCTTGGCTGAAACAACAATCGGTTAACTCAGTAAAAATTTGAGACGGAGTTCAAAAAAAAAAAAAATTAATAAACCGCCCGAAATATCGCACTCGATGGAGATCGATAGAAATAACATAGGTACCTAATATATTATATTGGACCGTGCGACCGTTACGGGATGTTTTTTTTGGAGCGGGTGGTGGTGAGGAGGCAGACACAACGATAGACATCTAAGTACCTACTACCATAATACCTATATGGTTTTTTTTTCCATAACGGTCTAGTCTTCAGCGTAATTTTAATTTTTTTTTTTTTGGTGGGGAGAAGTAATAATACGATATCCGTTTTCACTCGACACGTTGTTTCAACCAAAATTAAATTTTTGCAAAAAATAAGATTTTTACATTGTTTTTTTTTTTTACTTTTTCAAACGTTGGTACTTAAAAACGTGTAAGACTGTATGTTCTACCTTATTTAATTTTTTCATTGTTGCATAAACAACGAATATTGACTAATTATTCCAAAACATAATTTAGAACGAGTGTATAATAGAACCAACAATTTGATTAACTTTCAAATGAGATTATTAATCCATTAAGAATATAAAACTCAAACCAAGGGCTGTCATACCGGATAAGATACCCTCAAATAAATTAGAAATATGAATGTCTTGCGTTTTTATAATTTTACAAAAACACCCTGAATTCATCACATGAACGTAATTTACATTATGGATTTGTACGGCTGGAGTATAAATAGATAGGTATGTCGAGAGTAGTGCCTATATGCAGTGCATATAAATTATTATAATATTATTTCAACAATATCCGTCAATAAACTCATCGTCGAACGGTGTATATAGTATAGTTTTAAATAAATAAATACAGTCCATAATTACGACATCAGTAACACTATGAAACAACAATACTAAGATATTTATGTGCTAATAACGGTTTACTGCAGTGTACTGCGTGCATACGACCATTTTACTCATATTATTATATCGTATAGCTAGGTATTGCGTACGAACTCGTAAATGAAAATCATCGTCCGTGACATTAAAATAGTTATACTAAATTTTTTACTATTAATAAAAACAAAATCTATGGCAGTGATATTTTATTCAGCATATTTCAACACTGCAGGTGTCTTCGTCGAAATATAAACTAGAAAATGGTTAAAAGTTGCAATATTTTTAACGGTAATTAATTGGTTAGCAAAATTTTTTGTTCATAATTTTTAACAACACCGCAATGGAATAGTAATTAACAGTAATTATATAACGCACTATTATATACCTTCATTGTAATATAATAATAAGGTCATGCAATTTTGTAACGTTCTACAGAATTTTAACACTTACCTACATAATACATAATTTAGTTATATTTACAAGAACATTTATTTCGATTATCTGGTGACAATCTAGATAAAAATATATGTTAAAAATTGCAACTATGTAGTAAAAAAAAATAATTGAATTTTCAAAATGATATAGGTATATTTTATTATTCATATATTATAAAAACATTAAAAATGAATTCAGAGTTACATTTTATACAGAATGACTCGTTTAATATATCATAATTATTTTACTCGCGTATTTAAGATTTCTTCAATTACTTTTCCACAGTAAAATTCAAATAAAAAAATTAATTGTTCTCTTAGGTAAAGGTTAATAAGATAGCAGTTAATGTTTAGAATAAATTAACAATTTTTATATGTCACGCCCGCCCATCGTACGTTTTTTGAGGAATATAATAGGTATATATAAATTTTATTCCACTTGTTAAAATTTATATTTTGAAAAGTTTGTAGTAAGTTTTTAACAAAGTTATTATAACTCAATAATATAGTTTTAGTAACTCGATAAAATAAAATGATTATAATTAAAAATGTCAACTCAAGATGCAATTTTTCAGACGTCCGGACATTCGTTAAAAATGCATAATATCATCTAAAGACTAAAAAAAAAAACTCTTAAGGCATGTCAGTTATTTATTTTCTCGGTATTTTTACGTTTAACTAAAAATGTTATGTTCAGGATATTTTTTTTATAATTTTTTAACAGTAATCCAATAGCGAATGAATTTGACAAGACAAGTATAGTAATTGCGTTGAAGTTGTCATACTTTTTGTTTAAAAAAAGACGATCAAACATAATGAATGCAAACACTCAATATTGTCAATATACTAAACTATTCTATATTATTTGCTCCATGCTCTGTTACATAAATTACTGTAATCATTTATGTCCATGTTATATATACCCATATAATATATACAATATACATAATATATACCTATATATACCTATATCGCTATATATAAAAGGACACTTACGTTTTCATTGGGCGTAAATTTAGTTTTAAGTTATTTACATCTGTGCAAATATACGTATAAATATTAAAATGCATTCCGTATTAATATCTATATTATAGTTTGCTGTTATTATAACATCATCTCTCGTCTGCAATAATAATAAACTCATTTCTGAAGAGCTAATTTTGATCTTCCAGATGAATTATTACCATAAAAGTATATAATATAGAAATCGTAATTATGATTTTTCTTATAGTTTATACATAATATAATATGGTACTTTCTAAAAATTAGGTTAATGGAATTTCAATTTTAGCTAATATAATATAATATAGGTGCTTTATACGCTTTTAATGAATTCAAAACGTAATGATATAAACAGTTCATAATACAGTTAATGAAGCGTGTAACAAAATATACAATTTAAAATACAAATTATAATCGACTACCTACTTCCTACTTTATGATTTAAGTCGCTCAAAATAAAACTTTTGAATCAATGATGATTTAATTACTTTCATAGCTGACGATCAGACAAATTTTACAAACACACCCACAGCGAAGAATTATCTCAAATATAATATACACAGCGAAGAATTATCTCAAATATAATATATAACCAATATATTTCACCTTTAAAATTTAAATACAATCCACCTATTTAAAAATTATATGCTCAAAATTCTTGAACTTTTTTTTACGATACTGTTCTCTTTACTTGTTCTCTTTAATTATATTTTGGGATATTAATTATTGTTATTTGGGATATTATTTTAGTACTCCAAGGCAAAAATTGCAATTTTATTGTGCGATTATCTTATTTCGATTATCAATTATCTTATAAGGTTACAATTTATCAAGGTTTTCGTTGATTATATGTCTAGTAAAACTTTAAAATTGTCTAGTTGGTTTTTAAACATATTTTGTGATATAACTTTTTTTTACTGATGAAAATATAATAATTAATATAATCGACAAATTTTTTTTTCATTCCAATGTGACTTATTTATCAAAGATTATATTAATCTAACATATGGTAGGTAGTAAAAATACAGTAATATTGTTACCCAACTTACTACCCAATTTTTTTTTTTAAGTATACGTACCGCACATTTATAACGTACTTACAACCTAGGACTGGAACCGAACCGAAAAGAACTGGATCTAAAACTTTAAAACCCTTAAAATAACGGCAGCTGAAACCTAATTGAAATATTTTCCAATAACTAAAACCAAAACGGGGACCTATATTTTTAGATGAAAATGTAATATCAATTTTTTTTTACCCCCGTTATAATTTTTTCGGGTAAATCCATATAATATTACATTCCCTGGAGAGCTTTGATAAACTAGTATTGTATTTGTTTAGAACAGTTTATTTCTAAGGAAATCTTAAAATTTAAATGGCTATTTATACTTACATTGGTAATAGGTAATACGGTGGATATAGGTAAATGTAATGAATGTTATTAATTTATTTACATATAAAAAATTGAACCGATTCTAATTTTTTTATATATAAATTTTAGAAACGTTTAATACCGGTTTACCAGAACCCTGACTTTAACTATTAGTTTATTTGTTTTTAAATAGAAACCGGAACTATGACCTTTTAATGAAATAATTGTGTAGGTACCGGAACCAGACCGGAACTGAAAAAACAAAAGGTACCAGTCCCTGCAACCTATACAGAAGTACGCACACTGTCACTGCAAAATAGGCAGTAACTGAAAAAACAACACTTTGTTGTGTTGTACGTTCGTGATGAGTTTCATATTTGAAAAATAAATACACCATATAGCTAGTATACCGTATACGACAATATGCATGTGTACTGATTTTACGAATACAAACTTCGTGATATTGCAATAATAATATTGTGTAATAAACTTAGTCAGTGGTGGTCAAAAGAGTGGGGAATTATGAGGGAGAGAGATCAAATTACCTTTTTTAAATCTTTATAATGGCTTAGAGGTTGATATAAAACGGTACCTAACTATAAGTTATATTTTTAATGATCAAATAGTGTATGTTAAAAAAACAGCCACATGACAAAGTCATTTGACCGCCCTGCTCGTAGTTCAAGTAAATTCACTACTATCATAAGGTATTATAACTTGTAGGTTTACCGCATCCAAAGTGTATTGAAAATAATACTAGCTGAGGGGCAACTAAACGCACCTCTGGTAATAGGCAATATACATTAAAACATTTTTTTTTAATGTATAAACGTGGGTGCGTAGATGGATAATATATCACATTGGATCACATGAGTAACAAGGTATAAAATAATATGTGAGTGGTTAATACTAGTATAATACCAGGCGACAGCTAGGCGTCCCACAGAACAACAAAACCCAAGGCGTATATTATAAGAGTTGATGAATTAAATTTAATCGATCTACCACTCGTCGATCAATTATAGAAATACTATGATACTAACGAGTAACGAGTTGTCAGTCTTTGGTAATGTGTTGGGCAGTATTAGGATATACATTAGCTGCGAAGTCCATTTCAAAAGATGATTGTTTCATTAATTATATTTTGAAATCTGGATTTGAATGATTTTGATGGATCTTGTAAAGCGGGTATGCTGCTCCAGGGATACCACAACAGCAGTTAAATCAACTGCAGTATATGTTTAGTTTTTCTAAATTGCACGGTTTTTTTTAATACATCACCATATTATTATCGAGTTATAT